GGGCAAATAATTTTTGACAAAAAAGCCAAAAATATACAGTGGAGAAAGGAAAGCCTCTTCAATAAATGATGCTGGGAAAACTGGAAAGCCACCTTCAAAAGAATAAAACTAGACTGTTGTCTATCACCACACACCAAAATTAACTCAAAATGGATTAAGAGCCTGAATGTAAATAAGACACATGCAAAAAGAAAACATAGGAACTAAACTCAAGGACCTTGGACTTAAAGAGGATTTTATGAATTTGACCTCACAGGCAAGGGAGGTAAAAGCAAAAATAAATGAATGGGACTACATTAAACTCAAAAGCTTCTGTTCAGCAAAAGAAATCATCACCAAGGTAAAGAGACAACCATCCGAATGGGAAAATATATTTGCAAACAATGCCTCCAATAAGAAGAGCCTAATAACCAAAATATACAAAGAACTCATATGACTCAATAACAACAAAGAAAAAACAATCCAATCAAAAAAGGGGCAGAGGACCTGAAGAGACATTTCTCCCTGGAGGGCATACAAATGGCCAACAAACATATGAAAAGATGCTCAACATTGCTAGCTATTAGAAAAATGCAAATCAAAACCACAATGAGATATTCCATCTCATACCTGTTAGAATTGCTGTTATCAACAGAATAAGTAATAACAAATGTTGGAGAGGATGTGGAGATAAAGGAACCCTCATACACTGCTGGTGGTACTGCAAATTGGTACAGCCACTATGGAAAACAGTATGGAGGTTCCTCAAAAAACTAAGAATTGAACTACCATATGATCCAGCAATCCCTCTACTGGGCATTTACTCTAAAGACTTGAAAACCCATATCTGAAAAGATATTTGAACACCGATGTTCATAGCAGCCCTATTCACAGTGGCCAGAACATGAAAGCAACTGAAGTGTCCTATGATAGATGACTGGCTAAAGTAGCTATGGTATATATATACAATGGAATATTACTCAGCCATTAAGAAGAGATGAAATACTGTCATTTGCGACAACCTGGATGGACCTCAAGATAATCATGCTAAACAAAATAAGCCAGACTAAAAAAGTTGAAAATCACAGGATATCACTTATATTTGGAATATAAACCTAAAAGTAACAAATGAACAGTACAAAAGGCGACTCAGGGACATGGACAAGGGACTAGTGCTTATTAGAGGATAGGGGGTGGGGAGGAGGGAAGAGGTAGACAGGTAAAGGGGGTCAAATATAGGGGAGTTGGGGAGGGTGAAGTGGGTAAAGGGGATCAAATATATGGTACCCGAAGGAAACTGGACTCTGGGTGGTAATCACACAATAGAATATATAGATGTCAAATTATAATGAACACCTGAAAATTATAATTATATTAACCAATGTTACCCCAATAAACTTAAAAAAAAAATTATGAGTCAAAAACCGAGTATATGAAAGAATGTCTGAAAGTAACAGAAAGGAAGGGCAGTGAAGGTAATGTGGGCAACTGAAATTGCTTTGAAAACATACAATAATCAAGATAAACAGTAGTAAAGATAAAAAGGGCAAAGATTGGACTGTTGGCAGATGTAAGAATAGTAAATGTTCGAAAAGCGAATCAAAAAGGAGGACATTCTCTGTGGGCATGATACCTGGAAATTTGCTTCAATAATCAGTATTCTCAATCACATCCAAGGGTTAGGACCTTGAAAGAGATATTCTTGAGAAAACATTTCAAAGTGGTCAACCTGTGGATTAACCACAGGAAAATAATAAATCCTCTGATGTTCACATTAACTCACCTGAGAAACTCTGGCTTGGCAATTCTTTCTCCAATATCCATGGCTCCTCTCCTTGCTCCAGTCTGAAGATCACCTCTGGTTTGGTAACACAATACCCTGACAAAGTAAAATAATTTAGGACTTGGACAAGGCAACCTAGACTCCATGGCCTCAGAAAGAGGAGGAAGCTTCTGGAGCTGCTCAATAAAGGTACCACTGAACATTTCACTGGAGAGGTAAACACATATATTCTTGGTACCCAAAAGTGATCAATCAACACTGAATTCTAATATTAACTATCATTAAACTCTAGAGTGTCTGTATGCTTCATAATTAAAAGAATTTTAAAATGCTACTTAGAATTACATAATAAAGGACCTTACCCACTGAGACAAGGTTGCTGTAGTTCTCCAACATCACATCTCTATACAAGGATCTCTGAGTTGGGTCCAGGTGCTGCCACTCCTCCTGAGTGAAGCCCACAGTCACATCCTTAAATGATACTGATGTAAATTTCTGTTCAATCTGAAATGTTCAAAATTAGGTAACATGGAAAAAGATATATGAGAACTAATCTTTACCATGATTACCATTCACAGATTATCTGAATGAATATAGAATATTTTGCTTTATATTCTGGACAAAGAAGAGAAATCATAATAGAAATATTCTGCCATTGCATTAATCCCCACAATGTAACTGGAACTATTCTAGTTAGTTCTTGGAAGCACTAAAATTAATCAACATCTTGTATTCAAAAAACATATAATCTGGTAAGAAAACATATACAGTAATAAATTAGAAATGCTATAGTGAAAGTACACACAAGACAGACTAATGTAAATGAGGAGCAAAATTAGTTCTATTTTAAGCTTCACTGAAGAACAGCTGTTGGATGAAGAGTAATACTGTGTTCTTCATGAGCACAGGGCCATGGCACAAGCAAAGGCCTCTAACACACTCAGGAAATGGGCAAAAGGACAAACAGCACAGGAGGAATTGAGAATAGAGCCTGGAGCTATGATGAGAGAAGGGGCCATGGATATATTCAGGAAATGGATTGCAGGGTAATTTCAGATCAATAGTTTCCAAAGCACGTGATTACTTTCCACCTTAAAGAATGGTGGACATTATCACCTATCATGTAGCCTCTGGAAAACTCCACTGCACACTTGTGAGACAATATAGTGAACGTGAGTATATATGTATAAATATAGTTTCGAATTCAGATTTTTTGAAAAGGTCTTGAGGAATCCTCACAAGGGACCCTGGAACAGTTTGAAAACCACCAAATTAGAGCGAATTTACCCAGCATATAACCTAGGGAGACTAATTCTTGCTAGGTGAAAAGAAGTTGGAAAAATACACACATTTAAATAAAGTGAACACTCTATGATCCTAAGCCTCTAATATGTTACTCTATATTTTAATTTTGAGGAAAAGACTTCAGTGTGTAGAATTCTCTAATTTACAGGAATATGACTACTACTATAGTCATATTATAATACTCTACTATACCCACCTTGCCCTCTAAATTTTTTTTTCTCAGAATGTTTAGTAGAACTGATTTGCAGAAAACTATACTTGAAAGTAGATGCTTTACAGATATATTGGGAAGCAAGTTGTTTTGGGGTACTGGTGCTTTCCTAGAGGAATCATCAATCAAGTTTTACTATATCTTCCAGGAAGTAAGAAGTTCTGGAGATGACTAGAAGAAACTGTGATCCAAAGACGATCAAGGTTTCTGAATGACTTGGGCAGTCTGAGCACCCATAATTGTACGGCTGCTGCCCAAGGATGAAGCCCTCTAGGCGTTCAGAGGTCCAGGCCAGAATTTAGAGGCATATTTGCTTAGAATACTTAGTGGCTAGAAACAAAAAAAAAAAAAAAATAGAAAAAGAAAAGAAAGAGCTCTACATCTTACTAAGTGAACACATTTAAGAAGAGAAATCAACTTGGGAAGATTTTCAGTTTGAACTAGAGAGCTCTAGCTCGAGCATTTAGCCTGGCATTGGTCTTATACTTTAAAAAGTATGTGGCATGAGTTATTGCCTCCCTGCCTGTTGTGTGCTGAAATATGGAAATTATCCACCCATCATATGGAACTCCAGCTTGAAATCCTTAGTACCTTGATAACACATTTTTCATTATACATTGGCTTCTAAAAATTAAATTTAAAAAAATTTTGTGAGAAAATTATCTACTTTAAAGATGACTTCTTTTCCTTTTTATTGTTTTCATTTAAAAAAAAAATCATTCACATTTACTAAGTCCTAGTAACTTTTTTAACTCTTTTTGATCCTGGGGATATAGCAGTAAACTAAATTTAAAATGTTTCTGTCCCTTAAATAGCTTAGAGCTTTTTGAAGGTAGGATTTTTCCTGAACTACATGTTACTCCAAATTTTAGGAAACATTTATCAGTGATAATGTGTCTCTGTTCCATGGATAAAACCAAACCAGACTCCAAGACAAAATGAGTTTATACATGTGAACAATTTCACAGATGCAAATTATTACAAAAGAAACCTCAGAGATAAACACTTCCCAACAAAACCAAGAGAATTGCCCAAAGGTGTCTAAGGCCCACTATCTTACAGAATTCAGGACTTCTAATATAGAGTTCAGCATTCTTTGTCAATTTCCAAAAAAAATTTACAGTATAACTCTTCCAAAGCATAGTAAGATGTTACTTGTTATTAAAGCATTAAATTAGTTTTTTTAAAAAATCCAACACTATAGAAGTTTATATTTATAAATTATATAAATAAACTATCAATACATTATAATTTTTAATTTTCTTTATATTTAGACTTAAAATTGTAGAGAGATGGCCTAATATTTTATTTCACTGCAATACATATTCTAGATTCTAACTTCAATTCAGAGACAATAATGAAGATGTGTAGAAAATGAAAAGGGAAAGATTTTGGAACTATTGTACTTGAAATGTCTGTAGACTATATAAGAGAAGACATCCAATTGGATAGTTTTTGATATCATCTAGAATGCACACTTTTACCTTTAGATAACTGTTGCAGAGAAAGGAGAGCAAAAGAACAGATTTGAGCATATACTGAAATTGTTACCAGGTTTTTATTTACAGAATCTACTCTTTTTAAAAAGAGAAGAAAAAGCTAAAAAGACAAAACACCACCACTTACATGAACTAATATAGTAGAAATTGGGATGCAAATAGGGCACTGATAAAAGGGGATAACAATAGAACTGGTCACCAATTCACTGGGCAGGGATTTGCATGAACAGCTGTACAGATACTAGATTAATTATATTAATCATACTTCCTCAGGGATTTGCATGAACAGCTGTACAGATACTGGAGTCACAAAGCCAGCCAGAAAAATAGGAGAAAACAGAACTGCACACTTTATTTTAGTAAAATAGGTCTTAGATATAATAAATTTGAAACACAATACTGTAGATCTAGAAATGAAAATAAAGATTTGGTAGACATTAATAACAATACCAGAGGGAAGGGGAAGAGGGTAGGTAGTTAAGGATAAAAGGGGTCTAATATTTGGTGGCAGAAGGAAATTTAACTTTGGGTGGTGAACACACAATGCAATATATGTATATACGTATATATGTATTTATATATATGTATATATATATACACACATACACATATATATAACATTGTTGAATTGTACACTTAAAACTTATTTAATTTTATTAACCAATGTCATTCCAATAACATAAATACATACATACATACATACATACATACATAAATTAATGATTTGGTGGAGTTTGAAGTCATCAAGAATGAATCCGATAGCTCTCAAGGAACTAAGAGACAGAAGAGAGAAATTAACAAGAATGCAACCTGAGGGAAAATCACTTTTCAACAGGCTCACAGAGAAAGAATGGGCTATGAACACCATGAAAGTATTTTCTGAAGGTGGAAATAAAAATGAGAATGAATAGTTTTAAAAACTAAGAGATGATATGATCATCTCATACAGAAAAGCAAGACAAGAAATATTCTTGGCAAACTATAAAAAGGAATTTCCTCAATGGGATAAAGGACTTTTTCAAACACCTACAGCAAACATCACATTTAATGGTGAAATATGGAAATTGTTCAACTTAAAACTAGTACCAACATAAGGATGTCTTCTATCTCCAATTTCATTCAATATTCTTCTAAAGTTCTTAGTGTATTATGACAAAACAATCATATACAAAGAAAACCCAAATTAAGTATCTAAAATAAAAATTTTAGAAATTAGATACAAGTTCAATATAATAAATTTCAGAAAATTAAATATTTTAATGGTACAATTAATAATAGCATAACAATATGAAAATCTCTACAAAGAAAATTACAAAATATAATAAAGGAAAATAAAGAAGACCTAAATAAATGGAGAGATATAACAGGTTCCTAGATAGGAAGGTTCAACACTATAAAAATATTAATTTGCTCCATGTTGATATACAAATTCATAGCAGCCTCAAACAAAATCCCGGTAGACACTTTCTTGGATATTAGGCAGGCTAATTCTAAAATATGTGAAAATGCAAAGGGCTAAGAAGAGACAAAACAATCTTGAAGAAAAATAAAGCCAGAAGAAATATATCAAGTATAATTAATCAATACACCATAATTAAAACATAGTGTGATATGGGCATAAGAATTTTCAAAAGTATACACAGAATGGGGAAGAGTTCAAAAACAGACCCACACATATATGACCACCTGATTTATGATAAAGGTAACAGAAAGATAATCATTTCAATAAATACTGCTAGTTTAATTATATTTATTGCTATCTTAAGTATAAGCAGAAATTCATTATAAACATTTTATATATTATAGATATATATCTAAATCTGAAGAGTAAAACAATAAAAAATTTCAGAAAATGCTATAAGAAATACCTTCATGACCAAAGATTTTTAAAACAGAAAACAAATTATATTAATCATACTATATTAAGAACCTACCCTTATCAAAAGACATAAAGAGGATAAAAATACAACACACACAGTGGGAAAAGACATTCAGAATACATATGTATCTAGTTAGTTTTACATATGAAATTCAATTAATATAATTCACCAATGAAGAAAATAAAGGAGACGAATCATATAATGATCTCAATAGATGATGAAAACCATTTGATAAACTTTAACAGAAACTCATTAAAAAAACTTTAGATAACTAGGACTAGAATGCACATCCTTGATGTGATTATACAAAATAAATGCAGCAAAAATTACATATTGAAAGAAAAGCTTTCCCTTTGAGAACAGAATCAAGACAAAGAAACCTATTCTTGCTTCTAACCAATATTACATATACAAGAAACTAGCAATGCAATAAAAGAAAAAAGGTTAAAAATTGGAAAATATAAATAAGTGTCTTTATTCCCAAATTATTTGTTTATATATATATAGAAAAATCCAAATAATGTATAGGTGAATTTTCTGACATAATATATTAGTCCAGAAAAATTGTTGGATATGAGATCAATATACTAAAAATAATTTTACATGTCA